AATATGCGTACTTTGGATTGACAAGGAAAGCTTAGTCTGTATATTTATTTTTCCCAGAGAGTACTCCTTTTGATTAGATTCTCCTTGGAAAAATGTTAGCTGACATAACTGAAGAAACTGTTGTAATAGGAACATACTTGTAGTTTCTGAAGAAATGTTGTGTTGTTTATCATTGTAGTCTTGGAGCACCCTAAATATGAAAAAAAAAATGTGGTAGACAAATTAAAATGAAAAACTATGGAATGTTTAGAATGTCAAGATGAAATGTGGGTCAAAATTAAAAATGATGTATATAGTATATATTTTTTAAGGAATGGGATAATAGTTGTGACATACTGTCATATCAAAGACTTCACCACAACTGCACATGTATTTCTAGAAATATTTTAGGACTTTTGCATGTGGTTTTTGTTATCCAAGTATGATAATTAGTCTCTTTTTAAGTTGGAAATTATCTAGTGCTGTTAGTTTACCTGACCACAGTAAGAAACAAAAAATCTCTAAAAAGATATTACAAATCCATATATTAAAAACCATGTACTTTACTCATTTATGATCTCCCAGAGTCACTCACTCAGCTTATTTATTTTATTGTGATACAGTTTACCATTTTAACTATTTTTATGTGTACAGTTAAGTGGCATTCAGTACATTCATATTATTGTACAGTCATCACCACTGTCTATCTCCAGAACTTTTTCATCATCTCAAACTGAAATTCTGCCCTCTAAGCAATAATTCCTCATTTCCTCCTTCCCCTGGCTTCTGCTGAGTGCTGTTCAACTTTCTGTCTCTTATTAGTTTGTCTATTGTAAGTACTTCTTATAAGTGGAATTATATAATGTTTGTCCCTTTGTGTGTGGCTTCTTTCACTTAGCATAATGTCTTCAAAGTTTAGTCATCTGTGTTGTACAATGTGTCAGAATGTCATTCTTTTTTTAAGGTTAAATAATGTCCCATTGTATATATATGTGGGGGACCTCAAAAAACCCTGGAATTTATTTATTAAAAAATTGTGTCCTGGGTGAGGTGGCTCAAGTCTATAATCCCAGCACTTTGGGGGACTGAGGCGAGTGGATTGCCTGAGCCTGCAGGTTTGAAATCAGCCCGGGCAACTTGGCGAGACGTTAAAAAGAAAAAAAAATTGTATATTTACTCTTTTTTTTTTTTTGCGTCGAAGTCTCACTCTGTCGCCCAGGCTGGATAACAGTGGCACACTCATGGCCACCCCAGCGTCGACCTGCTGGGCTCCGGCGATCCTTCTGCCTTGGCCTTCCAAGTAGCCGGAACTACAGGCGTGCGCTACCACACCTGACTTATTTTTCGTTTATTGTAGAGACAAGGTCTCGCTAAATTGCCTGGTCTGGTCTTGAACCTGTGGACTCAGGCAATCCACTCACCTCGGCCCCCAAAGTGCTGGGATTACAGGCTGAGCCTTTGAGCCTGGCCGTGTTTCTTCCATGTTTAAACTTCAATCACCTTCAAAGTACTCTCCATTTGATGCAGTACACCTATTGAGATGCTTTTGTCACTGCTCAAAACAGTTTTTGAACTTGCCAGTTTGGATGCCTTTTAGTGCTTCCGCTGTTTTTTGTTTCACCTCTTCCACATTGGCAAAACTTTTCTCTTTGAGGACATGTTTTCATCCGGGAAAACAAAAAAACTAGTAGCTCAGGATGAGATCTGGTGAATAGGGAGGAAGGGGCACAGAGGTCATGCCGTTTTTTTTGGTTCAGAACTGCTGAACACCCAGCATGGTGTGGGCAAGTGCACTTGTAAGTCACCTGTTATGAAATGGGCAAATGTGTTGAAAGACTCCAAAAAAAAAAAACCTTAAGCCGAACATAGCCTCTTGCAACAACACTAGCTGACACACTAATGCTGATGGGTTTCTAGAGCACTTGTGATGGGTTTCTAGAGCAGGGGAAGCCTGTATTGCAAAGGAGGGCAGAAAGGACTGTTTGATAGATAAATATAGGACCTAGAGTCAAGGCATTTCAATTGACAGAAGCAAGGTATGAGTGAACATTGGAAAAATTCACATTTGGAATACTTCATTTCTTGGCAATATGAGTTATGTAAAATATTCCTATTTGAATGATCTTAGTCTAGATTGCCCTGTCCAGTAGCCGCTAGCCACATGTAGCTATTTAAATTAATTAAACCTGGACAACATGGTGAGCCTTCGTCTCTACAATAGCTAAATTAGCCAGGTGTTTTGGCATGTGCCTGTGGTTCCAGCTACTTGGAAGGCTGAGGCAGAAGGTCAAGGCTGCAGTGGCCATTGGCGTGCCACTGTACTCCAGCCTGGGCAACAGAGTGGGACTCCAACTCAGTCCATCAATCAATACATACATACATACATACACTCATACTAAATAAAATTGTAGATTTGGTTCCTTAATTGCATTAGTCATGTGTCAGGTGCTTAATAGCCGTATGTAGCTAATGGTACCATGTTGAGCTGTGCTGCTAAGGAACATTTTTGTCATTGCAAAGTTTTTTTGGACAGCACTGGTTTCGATTTTTATTAGAGATGTTACTGTAGGATAATATGGCAGTTTTTCTTTTAGTTAATTATAAAATGAAATCATAGAAATTTAGGGTTTGAAACTTAGAATAATTTAAACTATAAACATTTTTTTTTTTTTTTTTTTTGAGTTGGAGTCTCACTCTGTCACCCAGACTGGAGTGCAGTGGCCGCTCCCAGCCACCACAGCCTCGACCTGCTGGGTTCCGGCGATCCTTCTGCCTCAGCCTTCCGAGTAGCCGGAATTACAGGCACGTGCTACCATGCCCGGCTGGTTTTTTTTTTATTTATTGTAGAGATGAGGTCTCGCTGCCCAGGCGGGTCTCGAACCCACGGACTCAGGCAATCCACTCACCTCAGCCTCCCAAAGGCACGGGATTACAGGCTGAACCACCGAGCCCGGCTTTATAAACATTTTTTATAGTGATATGGGCTACTTGAGATGTTGATGACTAACCAGTTATTCAACACTCATTTAGTGCTCTTGGGCATAACACTAGAATAGGAATTGTCTGTGTGTGTGTGTGTGTGTGTGTGTGTGTGTGTGTGGGTATAGATTCCTCTCTATGTTTATTTGTATATAGATATACAAATAGATATAGATTCCTCTCTATGTTTATTTGTATATAGATATATACTTCTACATATATAAAAATATATGTCCTGCTACATAAATATACACAAACCCACACATATATTTCTACTAAACATTATATTTACTGTTTTCTGAATGGTGGTTCATATTCAAATTCTCCTAATTGTTCTCACAATGTCTTTTATAGCTCTGCTCCCTCTTCCCCTGCCTCACCCTATCAAAGCTCAGACATTATAATTGGTTACTATGTGTTTTTCACTTCTTTTATACAGAACAGTTCTTTCTTTCAAATAATTTATTTTCCTTTTTTATGACATTGACTTTCTAAAGAGACTAGGCCAGTTGTCTTGTAGAATGTCCCCTTCTGGATTTGTTTCGTGATTTACTTTGATGCCATTTAATTTGTTCTTCTAGGCTCTGTATTTTCTGTGAACTAGAAGTTGGTTCTAAAGACTTGATTTAGGTTAGGGTTAAACAATAAATAATATTTGGTAAGAACACTTTGTAGGTGATGCCTGATTTGGGGGTCTTGCTTTTTTTCATGATGTTTATATGAACAGTTTTATATAGCGATTCATGGTTTTTAAAGTGAGTTCACAAACAATTTTTTCTAAGTAATGTTCTTAACACCCTGTGAGGTAGGATATTAATGTTTTTAACACCCACAGATACTGTCCTTACTGTACAAATGTTTGATTGATTGTTTGAGTCAGAGGCCCACTCTGTTGCCCAGGCTGCAGTGCAGTGGCACGATCACAACTTACTGCAACTTCGACTTCCTGAACTCATATGATCCTTCCTTCTCAGCCTCCTGAATAGCTGGGACTACAGGTGCACACCACCACTACCAGCTAATTTTTTGTAGAGTCAAGGTCTTGTTGTGTTCCCCAGGCTGGTCTTGAACTCCCAGGCAATCCTCCTGCCTCAGCCTCCCATAGTGCTGGGATTACCAGCATGAGCCCCACTGTGTCTGGAACAAATGTTAGTTCTTATTAGCTCTTTACTAAAAAGTTCTGCAGTTTCACTGGTTATTGTAACTGAAAAGAGTGTTACTTTGTCTCTACTGTCTTGTGAGATTTGTTTTTAGAAAGAGATAGTAATGCTTATACTTTCAGGAAACAAGTGTACATTACTCTGTCTAAACATTGTTTACAATTATTATGAATGATTCTATATAGGATAATGACCATCCTGACTGTTAAATGATAATTCTTCTCTTTGAAAAAATCAGTTCAGAATCAATAGGTGAATAAGAAGCTAAATGTGATTAAACTAACCATGTATTACAACTACTCAGAGCTTCTGAGCAGTGTGAACAACCAGTGTTAGCAAAGTCAGTTCTTTTTTTTTTTTTTTTTTTTTTAATGATTACAACTACTTGAGGGGTTTACATTCCCAGCCTGGATAGTGGTGGCAAAAATATATAAAATATCAGTGGTGACTTATATCTGCAGAATTCACGATAATGATATAAGCTACCATCTATTAGGTACTACCCATTATATGCTATAGTGTGTGCTAGGAACTTCATAATATATGTTATACTCAATCCTTACAACAATTCACAGTGATAAGAGGCAAGTTACTAGAGGGTAATTTGCCCATACATGTAGATAATTGGTAGTGGAATGGAATTTGAACCTAGCACTTACTTTGAAGTATAAAAAACCTATGAATTTTACACTGTGCCCTGCAGGTTCTGATATGATTGTGACATAATGAAATGAGAAAATATTCACTGTCTAAGTACATTGTAAGATTGAACTTATTTTACTAGTCTAGTGTAGAAATTTTTGTTGTTATATATAGCATTGCACAGTTTAATTAGAAAATACAAATACTTTAAAATTTTCCTTTTCCTTTTCTTACCTCTAGATATTCAAGAATTTTATGAAGTGACCTTACTGGATCATCCAAAATGTATAGATCGTTCAAAGCAGTCTGAACCAGTTCAGCCTGTGAATACTTGGGAAATTTCCAGCCTTCCAAGCACTACTGTAACTTCAGAGACACTGCCAAGCAGCCTTAGCCCTAGTGTAGAGGTAAGATACATTTTTTCTGAAACTGTTTTTTAGTAATTAATTTATTTGGGCTACTAAGTTTTTTTATTTTATTAAAATGGTATTCTATTAAAAAGGATATTTTGTGGAAATATACTGTATAATGGAACAAAGAGAACAGTTAAAAATATTTTTGAAAAGAAAAGCTCATTCTCTGTTGCTACTGATTTAAAAATGTGAGTGGCTTGAGGTCTGAAATATTATTAAAAAATACTTTGCATGATAGATCTCAGTGAGACTATCTGCATAATAATTAAAATGGCAGTTGTACTTTGTAAAGTTGATTTAGCTCTGATATTTTTTCTAGAAATAGAATATAGTTGTGTTTGGACTGTCTACCCATTTATAAAATCATAATGATTCTCTGTTTATTGGCTTGAAGGATTGCATTAAAACTCACTAGACTGATCAGTAAAACTTCAGGTCAGCATTGGTTTCTACATTTTTTTTTTTTTGAGTTAGAATCTCACTCTGTTGCCCAGACTGGAGTGCAGTGGCCGCTCCCGGCCACCACAGCCTCGACCTGCTGGGCTCCGGTGATCCTTCCGCCTCAGCCTTCCGAGTAACCGGAATTACAGGTGCGCGCTACCACGCCCGGCTAATTTTTTGACTTACTGTAGAGATGAGGTCTCACCTGCCCAGGCGGGTCTCGAACCCATGGGCTCAGGCAATCCACTCACCTCAGCCTCCCAAAGGCTCTACATTTTTTTTATAATTAAAACTATTTGTGTGTTCATAACTATCTTAGTAGTAATCTTTTTGTTGTTGTACTTTACTGTTGCCAATAGAGTTGAATATGGTATAGCAGAAATGTGAAGCATTTTGTTATGAGGATTCTACCTGAGAACATAGTCATTTGAAAATGGTTGTCTGCCTTAATTTGAAACTAGTCCCCTGTAGTTAGTATTAGACAGTGCAGTGCCTGGAAAATTGAATCAGTTGTGTTTGGTGAGTTAATAAGTCAGGGAAAAGTGGTGGTGGGCAGCAACCAGACAGCACTTTGATAATGAAGTAGACAGTTTCTCAGTTTTCTCTTTTTATTTTTTGAGTTGAGGTCACTGACACCCAGGCACAATCACAGCTTACCACAACTTTAAACTCCTGGGCTCAGTTTCTACCTCAGCCTCCTGAGCAGCTGGGATTACTTGTGTGTGCCACCATGCCTGGCTAATTATTTAATTTTTTTTTGTGTGTGGAGATGAGGTCTTGCTATGTTGCCTAGGCTGGTCTCAAGCAATTCTCCCTTCTTGAGTTTTCTTTTTTTATATCACATAACATAGATCTATAGAATTTTAGAACAGGAAGAATCAGAGCACATTTGATCCCTCTCCTTCCTTTTAACAATGAGGAAACTACAATCCAGAGGAAAATTACTTGACCCAGCTTATTTAGCTACTTTGGACAGTTCTGCCTTTGGATTTCAGACCTCTTAACACTCTATTCACAATTGTCTTTATTAATGTTGCTATGACTTTGTGTGTTTATCTTTAATTAGCGATTACTGTTTATTGTGTGTGTATCCTTATTTTCTTTACTCTTTTATTTCTTTCATCACTTTCTCAGATAAGTTTCATTTCCATCTTCTTTATTTGATGATCGCTTTTATGATAGTTCATTTCTGTGATCTGTTTCAAATAGACTTTTTAAATGTCTATAATCAGTTATTTCTATGGTTTGAATGTTCCCCTCTAAAATTCAGTTGTTGCTAATGTGATGATATTGAGAAATGGGGTCTTTAAGAGATGATTAGACCATGAGGGTCCTCCTTCCTTAATGGAATTAAGATGCTTATAAAAAAGAAAAATCTTGAGGAAAAATTTAGCATCTTTAGCTTGCCTTTTTGCCTTCTGCCATGTTGAAGACATAGCGAGGAGGCCCTCATCAGAATAAATGCCTAACCTCTAGAACTGTGAGAAATGAATTTTTATTCTTTATAAATTACCAAGTCTCAAGTATTCAGTTACAGCAGCACAAAATGGACAAGATATTTGTACGGTTTTTTTTTTTTCTTCCTTTGGTCCTGGATAATTCCAAGTTCTATAGTTTCTATATCACACTTATTATTCTAGTGCTAGATTAGGAAACTTGCTTCTGTATAAAATTTGTTAAACTTTAAAATAATTTGCTTTCTTAATTACTTACTCTTTTTCTATTGTCTGGTTTATACTACTCGCCTCTGATGATAAGGCATAGCGTTCTTATAGTTGATTTATCTATTTTTTAATAGGAGTTGTTTAGATAACAGCTGGCTCAATGTGATCAGTAAGAGTAAATATTTAGCATTGTTGGTAGAAATGTAAATTAGTACAGCCACAATGGAAAACAGCGTAGAGTTCTCAAAAAAACAAAAATAGAATTACCATCCAATCCAGTAATCCCACTATTGAATATCTGTCCAAAGGAAAGGAAATCAGTATATCACAGGGATGCCTCCACCCCCATGTTTATTACATCACTGTTCATAATAGCCAAGATATAGAATAAACCTAAATGTCCATTAGTAACTGAATGGATAAAGAAAGTGTGATATACGTACAAAATGGAATACTATTCAGCCATAAAAAAGTGAAACCCTATCATTTGCAGCAAAGCAGACAGACCTGGAGGTCATTATGTGCAATTAAGTAAGCAAGGGACAGAAAGACAAATATCACATATTCTTACCCATATGGGACCTGAAAATGTTGATCTCATGGAGGTAGAGAGTAAAATGATATGAGAATGAGAGACTGGGAAAGGGGGAAGAAGGAGAGGATGGAGAGAGATTGATTAATGGGTGCAAGAATACATTTAGATAGAATAAGTTCTAGCACAGCAGAATGACTGTAATGAACAATTTATTGTATATTTCAAAACAGCTAGAGAGAAGATTCGAAGTGTTCTCAGTACAAAGAAATGATAAGTGTTTGAGGTGATGGATAGTCTAAATACCCTGATTTTATCATTATACATTTATGCATGTATCAAAATATCATATGTATCCTACAAACATGTACAATTATTATGTATAAAAACATTTTTTAGAAAGTACATATTCATTGAGGTAGAATAAGGGGAGTTTTGCAAGCTTAAAGTTTATTTCTATATAGATTTCAATCAGAAAGATCAACAATGTGTTAAATTCCATAAAAAATGGGAACACTTCAAGTTTTATAAAATTACGAGGTACTTATACCTAGAATGCTATGTGCAGCCTCAGTTGCTGCACCTCCTCAAAGATGTATTATGAATGTGGTAAAGGCATCTCGAGAATAGGAGAATAGAACCTAACAGACTGCAAGTGTCAGATCTTATTAATTTGGAAAATGGATAAGAAGAGAATATAATTGCAGAATGTTGCTTAGGCCTTGACACATGGAAAAGGCTCTAGTAATGTTTGAAATCTGTACCAATTTATAGATAGACTTTAATGAGAATATTGGGATGTGCTGATCAAGTCCCAGGTTTTTTAAAAGAGGCAAAAACCTTGGTGTCAAACAAGTGAGCTAAAAGGTCAGTTACTAGGAATTACTGTTTTATAGAGATGACAGAATACCCAAACAAATGTTAGTCTGAAAATGTAAGTAGTTATGAAATACACTGATGAATGACATTAAAATGACTTAAACCTAGGATGTTTGGAGATTTAATTTATGTATTTTTAGGGTGCTGTAAGAGAACGCAAGTTTATTTCCCTTTACCTATGCATTTATGCTTTATTTGAAAAACTTGGATAAGTGATTATTGACTTGATCTATTTTATTTGCTTCTTTAGACTTTTGGGGGCAAATACATGCTTAGTTGCGTTTAGTAGTATTATTTCTATATTGATACATAATTGTACATGTTTATAAGGTACATCTGTTATTTTGATACATGTATACAATATGTAATAATCAAATCAGGGTAGTTTATCATTTCTTTGTGTTGAGGATATTCCAGATTTTCTCTTCTAGCTATTTTGAAATATACAACAAATTAATTGATGACTGTAGTCACCCTCCTGTGCTACTGAACACTAAAGTTTATTCCCTCCATCTAATTGTATTTTTGCGTCCATTCCCCATAACCTTATCAGTCTTTGGTAACCACCATTCTACTCTCCACTTCCGTGAGAGCAGCTTTTTTAGCTCCCACATATAAGAACATGTGATATTTGTCTTTCTGTGCCTGGCTTATTTCACTTAACATAATATCCTCCAAGTCTCATCTATATTGCTGCAAATGACAGGATTTCATTCTTTTTTGTTTCTTACAGCTGCATAATATTTCATTGTGTATATATGCCACATTTTCTTTATCCATCCATTGATGGACACTAGGGTTGATTTCATATCTTGGCTATTGTGAATAGTGAGTGTTGTGATAAATATGCACATGTAGATGTCTCTTCAGTATACTGATTTCCTTTGCTGGATCATATGGCAGTACTATTTTAGTTTTTTGAGAAACTTCCATACTGTTTTCCATACTGGCTGTTCTAATTTATATTCCCACAACAGTGTACCAGAGAGTTCCCCTTTCTTCACATCCTAGCAACATGTTACTTTTTCTTTTTGATAATAGTCATTTTAATTGGGGTAAGATGATACCTTACTAAGGTTTTGATTTGCATTTCCCCGTGACTAGTAATGTTCATTCTTTTTTCATATACTTGTTGGCCATTTGTTTGTTTTTTTTTTGTTTTTTTTTTTTTTTGAGTTGGAGTCTCACTCTGTCGCCCAGACTGGAGTGCAGTGGCCGCTCCCGGCCACCGCAGCCTCGGCCTGCTGGGCTCTGGCGATCCTTCCACCTCAGCCTTCCGAGTAGCCGGAATTACAGGCATGCGCCACCACGCCCAGCTGATTTTTTTGATTTATTGTAGAGATGAGGTCTCGCTACCCAGGCGGGTCTCGAACCCGCGGGCTCAGGCAATTCACTCACCTCAGCCTCCCAAAGGCGCGGGATTACAGGCTGAGCCACCGAGCCCGGCTTGTTGGCCATTTGTATGTCTTCTTTTGAGA